GCAAAGAATAAATACTTAAATAACAAAGAAGAGCTTAACTTTATATTAAGCAAAGAATAAATACTTAAATAACAAAGACGAGCTTAACTTTATATTAAGCAAAGAATAAATAACTTAAATAACAAAGAAGAGCTTAACTTTATATTAAGCAAAGAATAAATACTTAAATAACAAAGAAGAGCTTAACTTTATATTAAGCAAACAAAGCAATATTTATATCTACCCATGTTCTCTCTCATAAGTTATTTTGTCTTAAATACGTGTTTGTTTTTCGCCCCTGTTAAAAAAAAATCAATAACTATTTAGTTGCCTATGGAGGGAAACGTCATTCATATGACAAGGTGTAAACAAGTCCTAACTAAGCATCTCTCAGCCAATTAGATGTAAATGGAATTTATTTGTTAGTTTCCTCAAAGAGAATCCCCGATAGAGGGAGAATCTCATAATCCAGTAATACTTGTCTTGCAACTAGCTATGTTACTTTTTACGTGTTCATATTAATTTTTATGTTGGTCCCTAATAAGATGAGGATGGAAACAGCACACACTAACCACACTTGGGCTAATTTTGCCTGATTGATTAGTAAGATCTGGTCGTTGCCGTTATGGAACACGCAGACTTCAAAGTGCGGAGCCATTTTGGGGGCAACATCTGCCAATCTACAATCCTAAGATGGACAGTCCAAGCACGATAACCGATAGAATGCTAGAATGACTCTATATGTTTTGAATTGATATTTAAACAATTATAACACAAATGTTATCTATGCGTGCTATTGGTAGGTCGAAACATTACGGTGTCTTTAGAGTGTTTCTAAATATATATTGCTGCATAAAATTAAGTAAAGTGTCACTAATTATGTTCAGTTTGTTTGTTTATTGAATTTTGGGTCAAGCTACACAATGACTACTTACGCTAGCCGTCTCTAATTTAGAAGTGATAGACTAGAGGAAAGGTAACTAGCCAACACCACCCACCGCCAACTCTTGGGCTACTTTTTACCAATGAAAAATGGAACTGAACGTCACATTATATAGCCTCCACCGCTGAAAGGTCGAGCATGTTCGGCGACAGGTTTTGATCTCGCGACCTCCAGATTACGAGTCGAACAGTCTAAACATTAGGCAATGCCAGTCCAATTATGTTTATAAGAAAATTTGATAAATCTGACAAATAATAATTGGCAAATGATTAAAGAATAACAATTTGTTTAGTGATTAGCCAACATGAGTTGTAACAACAAAGATTTTTGGGTAACATTCACAACATATGGTCTTGTGTTCGGGTCCCGAAACAAACTAATTCGAAATCCACATTTAACATCAAATAGTAGATGTTAACTGTTTATGATAACAATAGGACTAAATCATTAAATTAAAAAAAAAAATCTTGCATTGATTTAATATAGTTATGACGACAATACACTCAGTTGCTTAAATATGAAATTAACTACAATACGAATAATCATTGGATAACATATTTGGTCTAAGTTTCAAACGATTTCACTCAGTACTTTATAAACAGTGTTTAGTATGTCTCCGGTTAGTTTTAGTTTAGGTGTGAATTACTCCAAGTACACGAAAGCTTGTATTCAGATTTCGTGTATCGGTAAGCTGTGTGGATCTCATGGTGAATAGTTGGGATTAGATAGTATTATAAGTAGTTCCTTGTTTCATTTTTCATTAAAGTTAATTTCATTGACATATAATTGGTTAGAATAATTTTGAACATTATTATTACTCTTTTCAACTTTCACACTTATGAAAATCACATAGAACTAACCGAAATCTTCGAAGCTGGCTGAATATCATTAATACGAAATGAATCTGACTGATTATTCAGTATAAATCATTCTGGTTTCAGTTGTGTGTGTGTGTGTGTGTATTGGTACACGTCATTAATGTATTCCTATCAGTTTGTTATATAAAATTCGCTTCATTGATCTTTGAGCTACTTTTATTAGTTGAGATGTGTGTAGTAAGCTTACTTTAGTCAAAATGTTTTAATTAATAATTAACTAAGTAATCTTTCAAATCGCTTTTTAGATGAAATATTTGATTTAACTGTATCCAAGGGTGAAGTTTTAGATATAATTTTTCCCGTTCTTTTTTTTTGTTTAAGATCCGGTTCGCAAAACCTCTTGGATAGTCTCTTTCTTCCAATTCAAAACGCTAAAAATCTGATTTCGATTCCTGCAATATACCAATCACAGGTACCCCGGTGGGAAACTTTGCGCTTAAGACCAAAAATACACTTTACTAAGTAAATAATTTGACAACTGTGAAAATGAGTCTTCTTAAGAGTCATTTGTTGGTGAAATGTTAGCTAATTATTTGAACATGTTTTATGTTTAATTAATTCGGCTGTTTTTTGAGTTATGTAGTTCACTAAGTAATTAGTTGTTTGCAATTGAGAACCTTTTATTTTGCTTCCACTTAATCCGAAAATAATTCTCTCCGGCAATTAGAGATAGCAACGTTGTAAAGAAGAAGATTTGTAGAAAAAAGTAGTACCTAGCTATAAAAGTTTTAATAAGGCTGTAATGATACTTATGTATTATACATACACATTTTTTTATACTTACAATTTACGAAAGAAATGTCATAATTACATCAAAGCTTGATTTGTACTGTTTCCTTTTTTATAGAAAGGTTTTTCAATTTTGAGCAAAGTATAGTAAAACCAATTCCGCACTATGAGCCAATCCTTACAAAAGAAATTTATGATTCAATTTTTACTGTTTTTGTTCTTATTTGTATTGTTTCAACTTATCAAAAATCTTACTTTCATATTGCCCCCACCCCCAGTGGCACAGCGGTATGTATGCGTTCTTATAATGCTAGAAACCGAGTTTCGTTCCCCCCTTGCGGGCTGAGCACCGATAGCCCATTGTGTAACTTTGTGCTCCAAACAAATCAAACCAATTATTTTTCATTATTTTTATCGGTTAAATTTGAATTTACGTATTTTTATTTTCATGGAGATAAATTTCAAAGATGAGTAAATTGGGGTTTTAATAAGGTGCTAAATTTATATTATCTATAATAATAAAAGGGCGTGCCGTTCGTCAGTGTTTGTATGTGTGTGTGTGTGACCGCCATAGCTCCGAGAGGAAAGAACCTAGAAACCTGAAATTTTGCACACATACTAAGGGTATTATTACTTATCTTATCCACGTGCATGCGAAAAACCACATAGCAAGAAACTGTGACCACAGTAGCTCCTAGAAGAAATAACATAGAAACCTGAACTTTTGCTCCCATATTATCTTATCCACGTGCGCGCGCGCATCTGTTTAGTAAGGCAAGCTAGCGAAAAACCACAGAGAAAAGAAGTGATTTCTTATACAACAACTTCTAATATATATAGAAATGCCAGTGTGTTTTGCTAACAATGCATTCCAAAATGGTTTTCATATCATGTTGCTTAGCAACAAAAGTATAACTTAATATTGTTTTTATTCTATGTACTGAATATATAAAATGAAATGCATAAACTCCAAATATGAAAAAAAAAAATGGTTTCTTAATTCAGAGTCTCCATTGATGAAATAAGTTTAAAGAATACGCACACACACTGACATAGTCATCTACAATATATCATCCTAATAACCCAAGCTACGCCAGGTACTTTCGCAAGTACTTAATATTACTTTTAATGGCAACATTATCGAACTCCGAAATGGCATGAAACTTGATTCCTCAAACACTTTAATAATTTTTAAAGCTTCCTCTGCTATATATTAGTAACAAGAATACTTTTTATCAAATACTTACATGCAAAGATCACAAAAAATTGCCTTTGCTTACTACGGATGATATACGACTTGTTGCAGGTCTTTTTCTGGGTAGTCCTGGGTACAGAAGTTGATACAAATTCCTTTGTTTCGAATGCCATTAAGTAGTAATGGAATCATCCTGTCTTGGAAAAACTCTATATCTCTAATTTGTACACACATTTATGATCTGAATGTATGAAGTTTGTGTTTTGGAAAGGGATATAAAAGCGATCAATTTTCTATCGTATCACACAATCTGGTTGTCACGTGACTTGTCAAGTTACATGTTACAAATTGTTTTCATGTAATGTACTCAAGTCTATATATAGCGTTCGTTGCTTGAGTCCTGACAGCTTCGTTGGTAGAGTATTAGCTTCACGCCATTAGTGTAAGCCAAGGGTTTCTGAGATAAAGCTCTGGTAAAGGTACATTACTTAACATTCTAACTTCTCATGGTGGTTCGAAATTAGTGGTTGGCACGCTCCTGAATATCATCTGAGATGAATAATTGTGTGAATGCTGGTTGGTGTGTTTCTGAGATGAATAATTGTGTGAATGCTGGTTGGTGTGTCTCTGAGATGAATAATTGTGTGAATGCTGGTTGGTGTGTCTCTGAGATGAATAATTGTGTGAATGCTGGTTGGTGTGTCTCTGAGATGAATAATTGTGTGAATGCTTGTTGGTGTGTCTTGAAGAAGCCGCACTGCGTTATTGTGTTGTGGACTCGAGGACAAGCTCTTGTGTATGTACGACATCTCCACATTTAAGATGGAGAAGTGGCTGATTGAGTCTAGGTAGCTTAATTGGCCTCAAAACACCGGTATCACAAAGAATGGTCTAATCTTAAACACCACAAATTATATTTAGGATATACACATCTGTGTACGTATACGTAATAAACTTGGCATCCAAATCTCCTAAACTTAATAATTTTAAACAATGTGTTGATCATTGGACCCTCTGTATTACATTCAAAAAATCTTAGAAAAACTGATGTACAGTTATTGCTAGAGTGCTGTTCGTGTTGATTTGGGAACTTGTAAATAAACAGCTTTCAAAAACCATACATATTTTACTTTAATGTCCAAAGCACATTTCATACAGTAATTTATTCACACAGAGTATAAAAAAGATTGTATAACAAAGTAATAATGATTATTTTCCGATTATAACTATGAAATCAAACTATATTTTACTGAAAGCTAGTTCTGTAGTTTAGAATGTTTTAACATTTAAGCAATTATCATAAAGTTATAAAAAATACAATCAAAAAGTAACATTTGAAAAGGTATTGTTGAATAGTCCTTAAGGTGTCTAAACCCATGAGTTAGGCTTAAGATCTACAAGGACAACCACAGCATGTTCTGACGTTTTCGCAAAAGAAAACTCCCTTTTCCAAATCGTAGGTCACCAAACGAACCACTGACCTCTGCTGGGTGCACCTCCCGGTACGTTGACAGAAGTTACTACCATATGCACTGAAATAAAATATTGGACTCTTGTTTGTTTGTTTCTAATTAAGCACAAGGCTACACAATGGGCTATCTGTGCTCTGCCCACCACGGGTATCGAAACCCGGATTCTAGCGTTGTAAGTCTGCAGACATCCCGCTGTGCCACTGGGGGGCATATTGGACTATCTCTTATAAAATGATCAATGAGGTATTTCCTTCATCTCAACCAAAAACTTAAAAACAAAACTAAAGAAATAATTAAGTTGTGTGAAAGAGATTTTTTCGGGGGGGGGTAAAGTTTTCTACACCAAACGACTTTTATCGATTTACGAAGGTCGTTTTGGCCGTAGCGTTTTTCTTTTAGTGCATAGATCTTAACCAAATGTTCTCATATTCAGGTTTTCGTATTCAGTACTACTTGAATTTATTTATGTAAAAACAAATTTATAACTGTAGTTCCAGCTTTGTAAATTTGGGATATTAGCATAATTTGGCTTATACGTGTAATCATAGGGGGCGAACGTAACTTTTGTTTGTGTAGGTTATTCAGTCATGTGAGAGGGGGTAGAATCGGTTCGTGATCCTAAATGAATAAACTTTCGTGAGTGATTCACATACACAAATAATGTATAATATTTTGAGGTTAGTGGTAATAATGCGTGTAATTGTCGTGTTTCAAAGGCATTTAGGTAACCGAACCATCTTCAAAAAATCGGGTTTCGATACCCATGGTTGGGCAGAGCTTAATATCAAAGTAGAATATCTCAAGTAAAGTAACCATATATTTTGGAAATGAACGTAATGATTTCTTACCGACACTTATGTTGCCACACACACTGTCTAAACCCAGCCTTTGGAGCCTGTACAATTATTCTGAGCTCGTTAGATGTTGTATAACCGAACGTTGGCTCACAAGCACTAACTGAAACAGGACACTCGCTCGGGAAATGGTGAAACCTAAAAATCCATGCTGTTAATACAAATATTTCAAAAACAAGCCACTAGGTGTTGATGTAATTAATTTAGACTGATAACTCTAACTTAAAGACTTTCAAAATACGTTTTACATATAGACTTGAAAACTAGGCATGTTTATAAAATATTTTCAAGAGTTAAATCGTTCGACGAAGTTTTAATCAAATAACGTTACTCGATTTAAGTATGAGGATACATTTCCGTGATAAGTGTCTTTCTTCACGTTTTCATATACAGTTTAACTAATCTGGATATTGTATTATTTTAACGTTAATCGGGCGTTACTTTATATAAGTTGTACCTACTATATTCAATAGTTACTGACGTATGGTTCAGACTCATCTTTATTGGTGCTCTTTTGTATATTGAAACAGTTTCTCATCAGTCGAAGTAGATTCGACGTTCAAGAACGTGAATCAAATTTTTTACGTGATCACGCTCATGTTTTTGTTCGATTAATATAGATAACTGTGTATGTATATATTTAGCCTATTTGTCATACATCAAAATTGGAACAAAAAATAGACAGTATAGTTGTACACATACGCATTTCTTGAGTAAGGAAGTAGGCTAACTTTTAACTGAACTTTTACAGCCCTATACTTGAGCAAAGTATTTCCAACATTGCTTCGCGGTTATTTATTATATTGTTACGTCTCCGTTTGTTAATTAACTTTCCGTAACTTCGTTCCGACGAAACTT